TGCAGCTCAGGGCTGTTTCTCACCATTGTAACGGATCCATATAACCTGTTAGGTCATTCTTGGCTGTAGCCACCTGAAGACTTTTTTTCTGTTGAATGTCACCCACCATTGGGTGAATTAGTCTTGGTGACTTTAATCTTTCCACTGGAAGAATACAGGAAACATACACAGAGGAATTGAGTGAATTTGCCATGAGAACGTACAGCTAGTACATAAAATCACTGGTATTAGAATGCCAACTTTCAGACTTCATATTTAAGTGTTCTTTCCGCTCTCCTGAGTTGGCTTAAATTTGTGAGCAAAGAAATAGAAAAATTTGTTGACTATCTTTCTGCCTATCAACTTCTGTAGAATCATAGCAAACTACTTGTCCAATTAGTATCACTTCATTTGGTTCTTGAATGCAGAAATGGGAAGAAGCAATGGCTAGCAATAAGCTTGACTTTTCTTCACTTTGCCCTTCAGAGGTTCTGAGCAAAATGTGCAAGGAATTCAGATCATCCAAAAGTTCCAATTAAAGGGAAATTGGCCTGCATATCCAGATGCGAGAATTGCTATCAGTCATCCAAAGCTTCCCCTTCAGTGCCTATTTTGTAAAAAGTGGTTGGAAAACTTATTCTTATTAGGCACTAACATATCCGTACCTTTGATTTTTTAAAATAGATGAGAAAAAAGCCCTCAGTATTCTCATTTGAAGTAAGGCATTAACATAGAATACAAAAATATTCTAAACTGTTTCATTATAGACACCACAAATTTTTCTTGAAAGATTTAATATAGATATCATTTAAGAGACACACATTTTAGGATTTTATAAGATTAAAGGAAAAAGAATTTAGGGAAAGTTTCTGGCTCTTCAATGGCTCTGATGGATGCTTGAGTTCTTTTGATCATCTTTGTTTCTTTTTCCTTTGGTCAGCCATTCTCACTGAGATGAAAAAATGTTAATGATCAACCCAAAATAGATCATCTGATGAAGAATGATCATTTGCCAAGACCTGTCCTCTTAAAACTACAGTTTAAAGACATTTTGTGCCTGCCTATCATGCTTCTGCATTGTGAGGCTCGGGCTTTCCTGCAGTAGATGCCTGTTTCCTCAGTCTATGCTTCACCCAAAGCCGCAGCACTGTGTTTCAGGAATTGCATGAGTGTCTCCCATTCTGGTGAGAACAAGTCAGGCTTTGTATTTAAAACCCCAAACAGAGTTCTTCAAAACAGACCTCAAAACTGATTGGAGCATGCAAACAACTATTTTTTTTTTCTGTACCGGGAGTCCAATCCAGGGCTTCATATGCAAGCTAGGCAAGCTACACCCCAAACCCACATTGACAACTGCAGTCAGAATTCTGTCGCAGAGTAAGCAGCCCTGTATATCATAAGGCACTGTTTTCTCTAGGTGCATTTCTAAGTCTTTATGTATTATTTTCTCAGTCTTTTCATGTCATCAATGGTGGTAGGTAATAAAGCAGTTTAGCTCCTTGTCCCTTTCCTCTGTTGGTTCCTATCCTGGAGGTCATTCTTTTGTCCCTACAGACTCATATTCTACCCCTCAATCCTAGGCTAGGTAGGGTGACTAAATGTATGTCAATAGACTCATGCTTTCCGACTTCTGTATGGGTTTGGACAAAGGAAATCATCTGTGGGAGATGGGGGCCACGTGTACATTGAAGTGGAGGTATTTATTAGTCTAGATCAGTCCCTTCTGAGTTCAAGACACGTGACAGTATCCCACTTCTAATGGCTGACCTTTTCTTTCTAGCTGCTTCCTCTGGGTGCCCCAAGTCTTCCTTCTCTGAGATCCTCCAGATTTATAGATGGCAATTGTGGTGTATTAACTAATAGGAAATTTGTAACACCCAGCTGAACTGAGTTAGCATGCTTCTGGGTGTGGATGGCCCATCTAAGGATTGTTACAGCATAAAAAGAGAACTGGAAGGGAAGCCACTGGGCTGTTGGTCCTCCTGGAGGAACTTGTCATGCTGGTTTTCCTGATAGGAACTCAGCTGTACTTATTATCAGGAGTTTGGATCCTAAAAGTCACTGAGAACAGCCACAGTTCTTTTTGGGAGAACTCTGGTCCTTCCTGTGAGTGTCACTTCCTGGCTTTTGTGCAGAACCCTCAGCCAGGTACTGACACAGATCCTTCATCTCACTGGTGAATACTTTTTAGTTTCTGCCACTGGCTTTTGGGCCTTCTCAGTGCAGATCCTTGATACAGACTTTCATGAGACATTGTTGTGGGCTCTAGGCCTCTAGCAGGGCTCGTGGAGGACATTCCTATGGGCTCTAGGTCTTTAGCTGGCTCCTGCAGGACACTGCCATGGGATCCAGGTGCTCAGCTATATTCTTGGGTCTCTGGTGTGTGGACAGATCTTCTGCACTTTTTTGTACTTTACTCTGGGTGAATATTATAAAAATAATCCTATAAATTATGTGTCCTGTATTAAACTTATTCCCCTGTGTACCCTGACTAGACAGAAATGAAAGGACTTACACTATCTGTTAATGGTTTCTGTTGTAGTGGTCAGGGGTTGTGTAGAGAACAGCTAGAATAAGGACATGGAGATTATAATATTATTTTTATAATGGTCACCAAGAGTTAACACAAGAAAATGCAGGAAATCTATCCGTAACACCAAAGACAGAATATTTAGTCAAGGACCTAAATCCCACAGCAATGTCCCACATGAGTCCAGATGAAAACACAGAGCTCATCACAGTGCCTCCCACGAGTCCAACTGGAGGTCCAGAGCCCACAAGAAGGACTCATGCCAGTTTCTTTTATAGATCCGTGCCGGCAAGGCCCAAAGGTCAGCGGTGGAAGCTAGAAAGTCCATGCCAGCGCGGTGAAGGAGCTGTGCTGGTGGGATGAGGGTTCTATGTTGGAGCTGAGAAGTCACACTCACAACAAAGACCAGGGCTTTCCTGAAAGGCACCACAGCCATCTTCAGCGACACAGAGGCCCCAAGCTCCTCTGATGACAAGCACAGTTGGATACATGCCAGGAAGCCAGCATGACAAGTTCATCCTGGAGCCCAAGCAACACACGTCTCCCCCTCTGGAGCCAGGAAGGAATGCTCGATATGAGGACCAAAGCTTGTCCAGCAGAATCTAACGGCTCAAACTGCAACTCGTAGGAGAACCCACAATGCTTCAATGCAACAACACCTTAATGCCTTCACGCCTTCCTTCTCTTTCTCCACCTATTTATGCTGGCAACTTTCCTCAGGTGGAGTATTTTCACCCAGTGCCATGCCTATGTAATCCAGTTGGCATTAAGTTGACCAAGTTCTTGATCCATAACAGTTTTCTAAGTCTTACCTACATTTTGCAGATATAACAGTCCTTCATTAAAGTCTTCTCAATTAGCCTCCTTTTCACAAGCCAATGTGCAATCAGATTTTTGCTGAGACTCTGATTGATATTTTTTGTGTGTTTCTCCTTCACCTTTTCCCCTTCTTTTTATGTATCTTATTTTTTTTTGTTCCTTTCCTCTCAATTTTCTCCCTCTTACTACCAGTTTTTCTTTCTATTCATATTTTTCTCTTTCTGATCTTCATTTTTCTCTGTCATTTATATCTATGCTTTTCATTAAAGCAACACTGCATTTATTTATCTTACTAAGGAATGGAGCTGAGCTTAAACTAATGAAAAGCTTAAATAATCTGAAAAATGCAACAGAAGGTATTATTATTGCTGGGAATGTACAATGGTACAAATACTTTGGAAAGGAGTTTGGTAATTTCTTAAGAATTAGAATGCATATGATCCAAACATTGTTTTTGCAAGTATTTATCAAAGAAAATTGAAAGCCTATAAGGACTTTCATGTTAATGTTGGCAGCAGCTTTTTTTAGGATAACCCCCAAATTAGAAACAACCCAAATGTCTACCAACAGACAATTGTATAAACAAATTATAGTATATCTATGCAATGCAATACTACTTAGTAGTAGTTGTAAAAGGTAATGAATTATTGATATATCCAAAAACTTGGATGAATCTCAAAATAACTAGGTTAAATGAGAGAAGCCAGACCATAGAGAACATATATTGGATAACTCCCTTTATGTAAAATTAACTACCTTATAGAGACAGGATTAACAGTTTCTTAAAAAGCTGGTGTTTTAGTTTGGGGTTTGCAAGGAGAACCAGACAATACAGGACACAAAATTTATAGTATTAGTTATAATGGTCATCCAAGGAGTCAAGTACAAAGAAAGTGCAGGAAATCTGTCCATACAATAAAGACCTAGAGAGTCCAGCTAAGGGCCTGGATCCTATGGCAATATCCTTCGTGAGTCCAGATGAAGACCTAGAGCCCATGACAGTGCTCTCCACAAGCCCATGACAATGACTTATACAAGTCTGTTTCATGGATCTGTGCTGGGAGGACCTAAGGTAAGTTGTGGAAGTTGCAAGGTCTGTGCCAGCAGGATATGAAGGATCTGTGCCACTAGGTTGAGAGTTCTGCACTGGATCCAGGAAGCAACACTCAAAGTAAGGACTGGGGGCTCCCTGGAAAGTACCACAGCCATCCTTAGGGACGATGAGGTTGAGGTCCTGAGCTCCTCTGACAAGGAGAACAGCCGAGTTTCTGCAGGATGTTACCTTCTTTTTGTAGTGAAATCACCTTCTTTTCCTCTCTCTCTTGTAAGAACATTTGTAATTACAGTTAGGGCCCACCTAGATAACCTAGAATAATTTTGTCTCAAGAGTTTTAACTTAATCACAACTGTTGAGTCCTTTTTGCCATGTAAGAATATATTCACAAGCTCAAGGGATTAACGTGGGTACTTTTAGGGCCATTATTCACCTTACCACAGATGGTATATTGTCAGTCTGTGAAAATGTATATTGGTTAGTATCTGAGAATGGCTTATCTCTTTCTGCTTTGCATGGAGATATTTATAAGTAGCCTTGGCTTTTGAGGAGAAGGGAAAAATTTCCAGGTTGGATGCTTTCTGAAAAAGCTCCTGTGCAGAAATTTAGCTCTGTTACTTCTTTTTTTTTTTTTTTTTGGTTTTGTCAAATGTTTTATTGAGTGTAGACATCTGGAGTACTGTAAAACATGCATTATCTGTAGATTCAAAAAGGAGCAAGCCACATTGTCCTCACTGTCAAATGTGTCAGGCTTGGCACACATGATGGAGATTAATGGAGTATCATGAGAGTAATATGGTTCTTGAAAAGCTTCTACAATTTGAAGTAGGGTCTTAATCACATGAAAAGCAAGGTTGCTCACATTTAGTAACTTACATTTCATCGGAAGTACACAGTATTTTATAATTTAAAAACAAATAAAAATAATTTCTTTATAGAAGATTTCCATTGCCCAACTTTGTTTGTCTCTTCCGTTTTCAGAAATTTTAATTTAAAAAAACATATGCCTTTTGGAAGTTGTGTGTTTATCCAAGCAATAACTAAAAATTTTTATTTCTTTTTTGGTTGCTGAGGTGTATTAAATTTGAAGAAGATAATATCTCCATCTTCAACAATATAATTTCTGCCTTGTTGTCTGTATTTTCCAGCTGCCTTGACTGCATTTTCAGAACCTTCCTCTTTAAAATCTTCATATTTCATTACTTCAGCCATAATAAATCCCTTTTCAAAATCTGTGTGAATCTTTCCTGCAGCCTGAGGAGCCTTCGTCCCTTTCCTGATGGTCCATGCACGTACTTCATCTGGGCCTGCAGTGAAAAAGTATTCTAGTTGGAGTGCTGCAAACCCAGCCTTAATGATCTTTGGCAAAGCACTTTGTGTCATGTTCGCTTCCAGATACTTCTGTCTCTCCTCAACACTCAATTCTTGCAACTTGAGTTCCAAGGCCCCACTAAAAGGAATGACCAAGGCACCTGGGTCATACTTGTCCACCCACTCTTTAATTTTTATCAACCACTTGTTTTTCTTTCTAATGTAGTCTTTTTCAGAAAGATTAACCAAGTAGACCATTGGTTTCGAAGTCAAAAATAAGTGTTTATTCAACACTTCAATCTCTTTGTCATTCCAATCATGATAGAAGCGAACAGGTTTCTTTTGATCTATAACCCAGGATTTGACTTTGCACATTATGTCATATTCAGGTTTTAGTTTTTTATCTCCTCCTCTCACGGCCACTTTTTCTAGTTTATCTATTATGGGCCCAATCATTTCCTCATCTTTAAGCTGAAGCTCTTCATGAATTATTTCTGTATCTCGAATGGGATCTACACTTCCTTCAACATGGGTGATATCATCATCTTCAAAAGCACGTGTTAGATGAAAGATCCCATCACAGGCACTAATATGAGATAAAAAGGCATTTCCCAAGCCCTGCCCATTGTGAGCTCCTTTCACAAGGCCAGCAATATCCACGACATTTAGAAAGGCAGGAATTTTGCTTGCAGGTTTGTGATACTGGCAAAGAAAGTCAAATCTTTCATCTGGCACAGGGACTCTGCTCTCATTAGGATCAATAGTGCAGAATGGAAAGTTTTCTGCTGAAGCCTGGCTATTCGTTAATACATTAAAGAAGGTAGATTTCCCAACATTTGGCAATCCAACAATACCAATTTTCAGTGACGTTCCAAATCTTCCAATGATTGGGGGTGGTTTAATTCCATCACCTCCCTTTTTGGGGGGCATCGTGGACTAGGAGGAGGCCGACACGGGGTCCGAGGGAGCGGGAGATGAGTCCTCAGCTCTGTTACTTCTTGTGTGGAATTATAAAGCATCCTCATTGTAGCGGACTAAATGTTTTAAGCCTGTTCTCACATGGGGCCATGCTTTTACCTAAACAAAAGGCATAAGTATCTAGGGGAAGGATGACCATTTCATGGGAAGCTAATCTTTATCTTATGGGATTCAGTCTGCCTTTTGTTAATTCACCTTTAGTCACAACCATGATCTGACAGGTGAGGCACTGGGAAGATCCTCATTACCTGACGTGGAAAGCAAACATCAGAACTTCTATGTAGAGCCACTTCTAGAGAAGATTTGAGGAAAAGTTCTGATTACCAAAGGAGGACATACCCTTGGGTTTTGTTACCCCAGACCCTGGTCTTGTTAATCCTTCTGAGGTACAGGGAGACTGTGTGCTGCGGAATTGGGGCAGATTTTGTCTCTTAAGAAGCCCTGTGGGGGCAGCAGATGGGGTTAGAATGATGCTGTCTTTGCCCACACCCTCTGGGGTGGTCACCTCATAACTAAACTGACCCATATGGGGCTGAGGATATAGCTCAGTGGCACAGTGCCTGCCTGGCAAATGTGAGGTCATGAGTTTGATTCCTGGTACAACAACAGCAAAAAACAAACAAACATATAAAAAACCAAAGTGAAATAAACAAACAGAATTAAGAAAACCCCAAACAAACAAACAAACAAACAAAAACTTGACCATCCCATAGAAGGTCCTTTTGTGGAAAGGTCCATTTTGTGGAAAGCTCCCTGTCCAATCCAAAAGTGTCTCCATAGTAGGTGTTATCCAGTGTGTGATCTGGTCTGAAAGAGGGAGTCACAAACAAATGAGAAACAAAGGACTTGATATAGACTATTGTAGCTGCTGGCTGGGTCTTTGGGACCCATAAGATGGTTCTAAGCCTGTAAATTGAGGGGAATAGCCCACATTTCAAAAACATTTTCCTAAAGGCAGGGACAGCTATATTATTTATTCCTGCTTGATGCTCCACCAGGCTTAATTTCCTCCACACACTGTAAGGTCTGGGAACTCTGCTATCTTTCCTGTGTAAAGGTCAGGTGAGGGACTGTTAGCTAGGGGAAATTAAGTGTGGACACAGCTGAAGTTCCTTCCCTTGCCTGAAGGGGTCAGTAAAGGCCCAGATAGCGGGGAGACATCTTGCTTGGGAGGAAAGAAAAACATTCCTAATGGTAGTAAGTCAGGCTCTAGGGACAAATCCTATCTTGCTACTTGTGGTTTTTCTGCCTTGCCACTGACAAATTCTACAGGAGTCTCTGCTTGGCTGAAGACATGAGGGCTACCTCTGGTTGTTAAAAATGGGAGTGTGCTGTGGAATGCAAGAAAGGGAGTGGATCCAAGGGCCTGGGTTGAAGTGGCTTCAAGGCATCCTTTTGGATATTGTTGGGATGCTTGTGTCCCAGCCAGAGCCTGCAATCAACCCATAAAAGCTAGTAAGATAAACTTCCACATTAAATGAAATTTCAGATGAAGGATGGAAATGCAGACTCATGGGTCTAATGTTTTTTTTTTTTTCTCAGTCTTTCAAGTCTCAATAAAGTATAGTCATCTGACTCTTGTTCATGCACTATGAAAATAATGATTCCTCTGAGAACTTGTGAGCAATGATCATTGTGCTCTTCATTGTTTTGCATGTAGCTGGATGGAATCAGGCAGAAAAAAATCATGGTGGAGAAGGGCAATTAAGTAACAATCTGCACCTTAGATAAGCATCTCACTTTCTATCTAGTTTTTTTTTTTTTTTAAGTTTTAAAAATTTTTTTTGGTAGAAGGAAATCCCCTTTATTTGCTATGGTCAACCTCCCAGAAGATGCTCAGATTTCTGGTTCCCATTTGCTAATGGGGGGACAGAAGAAGGGGAGTAGGGGAAATGAGATGTTTGACTCTAGGCGGTGCACCAGTAGGTTCACTATTGCTTAGCAGGGAGGCAGGCTGGTTGCTTGGTTTCCCAGCTTCGTAAGTTCCAACATGGTGTGGATCTCAGAAGACACTCCCCCTGGAAGGGCCGCAGTCTGCCACACTGGAGCTGCTTACCAGGGAGGTGAGCTTCTTGCTTGGTTTCCCAGGGTCCTAAGTTCCAACATGGCATGGATCTCAGGAGACACTGCTGGTTCTCCCCCTAGAAAGGCCACAGTCTGCCACACCACCACCACTCACCAGGGAGGGGAGCTGCTTGCTTGGTTTCCCAGAGTCCTAAGTTCCAACAAGGTGTGGATCTCAGGAGCTGCTGATGGTTCTCCCCCTGGGAGGGCTGCAGTCTGCCACACTGCAGCCACTTACCAGAGAGGGGAGGTCCTTGCTTGGCTTCCCAGCATCTTAAATTCCAACATGGCGTGGATCTCAGGAGACACTGGTGGTTCTCCCCCTGGAAGGGCCACAGTCTGCTACACCACCACTGCTTCCCAGGGAGGCAAGCTTCTTGCTTGGTTTCCCAGGGTCCTAAGTTCCAATATGGTGTGAGTCTCAGGAGCCGCTGGTGGTTCTCCCCCTGAAAGGGCCGCAGCTGGCCACACTGCAGCCACTTACCAGGGAAGGGAGGTGCTTGCTTGGCTTTCCAGTGTCCTCTACCCATTTTTTTTTTATTTTAAAAAGAATAAAGGCAATCAAAACAAAACAGAATAAAGCCAATCAAAAACAAACCAGTGTAAATGACAGAGGACATCAAAACAATAGGAAATCAACAGTGGTTACTGTAATGCCTCTTGCTGTCTTCAAAATAGCTGCCCATGCTTCTCGGAGAACATGGCGGACAGACAACAGCAACTACTGAAGCCTCTCTGAAAGGCTCGGCTCAGAGGCCAGGAATGATGCGGACTAAGGAGATACGAACCAGTAGAGATATGCTCTGCTGACTCAGGAACGAACTGGGCTGAGAGAATCCAACTTAGGATACAGTCCTGGCGCTAAAATAGGAACAGAAAAGTCTCGGTGTAGAGGCTCGACCGCGCGCCATTGGAAACCGCGATTTGGGTTTCCCGCCGCCCGGCGGCTGGCTGCCTCCACAGCGCCTCGGCAAGGAGAGACGCGCCGAGCTCTGGGAACGGGAGTCTGCGAACGGAGTCGGAAACAGGACGGACAAGGAGGAAAACTGACTGGTGGCGAGGTGAGAGAGAAACTGACTCCCTACCACAGTTTGACTCCAGCAGAGGTTTTTCTGGACTCGGGCAGTCCTGTAAGAGCAGGGCGCGGTGGCAACTCCAGCCACACATTCCCCTCTCGGACGGGATTGGTGAAAAGTGCCTGGCCTGAGTGACGCTGCTGGCGGACTCCCTAGGCTGGCCTAACCCAGATCCCAGAGCCTGACGGTGGCCCGGAGGAGCGACCGACTTCCGCGTAGGCAGCCTCCTCCTCAACTCCCTGGGGCGCAGCGGTGGGCGGGAACAACTAGCCAGCGCAATTTGATCAGGCTGTGGCTGACAGGCAGGGAAGCCGGGCCTCCTATGTAAGATTACATTTTATAAGGAACAGAAAATATGGGGAAGGGAAGCAACAAAAAAGGCTCCTCGGCCCCCAATCCTGAGAATCAGGAAATAGTGGACACCGCACCAATATACATTAAGCGCCATCTAGAGAGCCTCATAGACCAATTCAGGAATGAAGTTATCAATGACCTGAAGCTAGAAGTATGCAGAATAGTTAGAGAAATGCTAAGCACCACCCAGGAAAAAGCAGATGGTGGAATGGAAGAACAGAAAAAGAGGGGAGAATTGCTTGATGGAGAAAACAGAGAAAGCATTGAGTATGTGAAGCAGGTTCAAAGGGACTATCAAGAAATTAAGAAGTCTATCCAAGACTGGCATAACAGCTTGAAAGAAACTAAGGACAGACTATCTGAATTGGAGGGCAGACTTGAAACATGGGAGAATGAAATGAAAAACTTCTTAAAAATAACAAAGAAACACACAGCAATAATACAAAGACAAGAAGATGATAAGAGGAGCCATAACTTAAGGATTAAGAACATAAAAGAAGAAGTAGGGACACAAACAAGTGAACTACAAAAGCTACTCACAGAAATAATCCAGGAGAATTTTCCTAATTTAGCAAAAGGTAAAGATACTCAGATGTATGAGGCATACAGGACCCCAGCTACCTACAACCCTAACAGAGAAACACCCAGGCATATAATAATAAAAATTCCAGAAATTCAATACAAGAACAGAATATTAAAAGCTGTAAGAGACAAGAAACAGATCACTTACAAGGGAATACCCATCAGAATTACAGCAGATTTCTCTTCACAAACCATCAAATCACGAAGAGCATGGGGAGAAATAATTCAAGCTTTGAAAGATAATAATCTCCAGCCAAGATTGAGATATCCTGCACAACTGTCCCTGGAAATTGATGGAAAAACGAGGTGCTTCCAGGATAAAGAGGAACTGGGGGAATTTGCAACCACCAATTCAACCCTACAGAAAGTATTGCAGGATATTCTAAAAAAAGAAAAATACAAAGAACCCAGAAATAGTGGCGGGGAGGCCACAACGAATGGAGCAGAGAACAAAATGAAGAAGACAAACTGACAGCTACTGACAGAAAAAGAGCTCAACAGAAATGAGACAGAGAAGATTGGATGATAGGAACAGCTTTTTTTGGAGAAAATGACATCTTAATAGGTAATGCTGATTTAGTACCATCTTGTTTTGAAGTCTCATCTAGCTTTTTTTCTTCTGTCTCCAATGGTCTAAACAGGTTGTATCTTATTGGATTTTGTTATGTACGATAGTATAAGCAAAAACCTTTTAAAGACAAGGAGATTATACAGAGACCATTGTTCATTTTCTGTTAGTCGATTCTAAATACTCTATAATGCTGTCATTCTCTTAAATGGTTTTACATTGTTTTGATATACTTAATGCTACAGTATATGAAGTTGTACTCAAGGACTTCAGGGAGGGAGTCAATATGGTAACTATTTTTGGGTCAGGATTATCTGGTGGTGAAACACTATTCTGCTTAAATGGTTATGTTTTGA